TGGGCAAGTAGTTTATATTTTCAGTCGTGCTATGACATTTCTCTTTGTGTTCTGCAGGCATTCACCACCCATTCTCCTGGGGTTTTGCCACTGCATCATCTATGTGGTCCGTCTGGTCCAAAGAACATCTCGTTTTCCATGGTAGCTACTCATCCTAGCCCTGCACTCCCACCTGTTGGTTTGAGTTGGGTGTCTGGGCAACACTTTTTATTTGGTGGCTAACTTGGTTTCACATTTGCTAGCTCTATTGATGTGTGATTTCTTTCACTTCCAATGTTTAATGAGGAAAAAATAGCATTAAGCCTAATTTTATGAGGTTGTCTCACAATTTTAAAGAACTTGCACACATTAAAATTACATTTCTATATAATACCATTTTAATAGAAGTGCTTGCTTTATGGGGGGAAAAGGAATGATAAAAAGTGGAATGATTATTGGGAGTCTCATACCCTTTTATTGAATTCTGATATAGCTCAAATCATTAATAAAAGGGAAGAGCTACAACTGTGGGGTATTTTATCTTCTATTATTATTCAACCAGATAATATTTTCCAATAGAATTCGAGAAAATTTTCAATTTTCCTTTTCTAAAAAATAAATTTTTAAAAATAAAATGATGTTGGACTCAGTTCAAAATTGTACTTTATAGCTATGCTTCCAATTCATTTACTCTCATAATGTCCCATGGAGGTAAAGTTTAATATTATCATTACTAGCTTTTGCGGATGGAGTAAGCAACATTCAGAGGAGCAGTGGGGGTTGTCTTCGACCACAGCACAGCAACTTCATTTCCAGGGAGTCCACTTGTGCTAGATAATTGTTATGTTGACTTTAGGAAGGAGCACCAAATTGATTGGAGTAACATAGTTCTGAGTGAATGGATTTATTGAAGATGGAAATCCACCAACTGTGTGTGTGAGGACACCAACCTCTAGGCTTGCAGCCTGAATGGAACAAAAGGAGAACAAAGAAGGAAGGCTCATTTCTGCTTCTTTGGAGGAGCTCACGTCTTCACCTCTGCACAGAGCCTTCAGCTGTCCATGGCAAGCCCTTTAGCACCCTGACATGGACTTAACTGCATAGGACTCTACGGTGAGCTCCAGGCTTTGGAACCTTGTCTGAAGTCTTGAGATCTCTTAGTGTACAGACACCCTCTGTGCCCTTCCACATGTGGCTCTGCAGTTGGCCATTGTAAACCTACCTTGTAAATCCTCACGTATCTCTGTATCTTGCATGGAATCTGTTTCTCTAGAGAACACTGATTGGTACACTGCTACAAGCCATTTATGTTGGGTTTTATTCATTTTTTTATTTTTTTATTTTTTTTTCTTTTCAAAGTTTTATTGATAAACATATAGCAATGAGACAGTTTCAAATCAAATCAAAAGTACAGTTTCAACAAATAATACACTGCATACATTCTTCCTAGTGGTTAATTGCTGTACAAGATG